AAATTATATTCAATATTGGACAGATATTGTTATTATTTCTCTTCATCTCGTCTCAGAATTACACACTAAAAGATGCGAAGAAAGCTCTATTGGTATAAAATTGTCAGGACAATCGTATACGGTTGAACCAACAGCTAGCTAGGGTACTTGGCATGGGTTATATTTTTATACAATTTACAATTCCTAGAGAAATAAAGTGAACAGTTTAATATCCTGAGATCACAACATTAAAAAAAGAATGAACCCATTGATTATATAATGCAAAACGAGAGGAATAATTCGTAAATTGTTTGTGGCTAACACGCACCTGGCGAATCGTTAGATATCACGGCTCTGTGTATCAAACGACAAAAAACAAAAAACAAAACCAATTCCAAGACCAAGACAATTCTTTCAGAAATGTGTGCATATCTTTTTACGAAAAATATTATCCATTTTGTTAAAGTAATATAGATCTATTCAGTTTTAGTTATAAAATAAAACAGCTATTCAAAGACATTGGTTATATGAACTTATAATATTGACTATTACACATCCCAAGAAATACGTACATGCTGCAGTTACCTTTACGCTTCATCTTGTAACATTTGTCCAAAGGAAAGAAATATCGCATTCGACACTAAAAACCTATCAATTGTTATGTAAATAATGTTCAAACAAACAGGAGATTATCAAAGGTTCGTTCATTCATGTTGTGGCTTATATTTGCGTATGATATCATTTTGAACATTGACAAATATCCAAAGGGAAATTAATTCTGTGAAAAAATGTATAAAACATATGCAAAATCTACATCATAACTGAAACTGTAAACAGCATGATACAATGATCGTGTGCACTCTCATTCAAGGACCTTCACCTCAAAGGAATTACCAAATATGTACAACAATGTTGACGTATGACATCACTACCTGTGACCCACTTTTACAAAATGGGTGTTCACTGTCAACAGTACGCGGGATTTTACGAGGGGACTTTCGTTGATTAAGGGATCGCATATACATAAATATGACATGTAAGTAATCAGAAACATTCTGACAATCTATGTACTGTTATTTGTTGTTATAATTTTCATTGAAAAAAACCGAAATAGGCAGAAATTCCGATAAATACCGTTGTCGTTGTGCGTGATTTTGCGTCAGTCATGGCGTCACACAGGACGGTAACTTTGACAATTTCTGTTGAAAATATCAAATCATTGCAGTGTATCTATTTTAAATTCCCTAATGTTTCCTACTACTCTCTTCCCGTGCATATTCTGAAAATGTTGAGCCAATATCTTGAAAGAATAGACGAATGGATAGCTCAAAATAGGAGAAAATGCTACACTGTGTAAAGTCTGTTTTTTGCTTTGTTTACATTTCAAACAAGTGCAGTTTTTCGAGCACAGCGTTCGTTTTCACACCTAACATATTTTGCTTGATTTCATCCAGCCACTTTGTATTGGTGACAAAGACCATTGGTCATTTGATTCTAAAATGTATGAGGAATTCAAGGATGTGTGTATCGCAGCTAAGTTTGAAATATACGCGATGTTACAGGCGCCTCATAACCGGTGTACCTGAAACGTGATTTTGTAAACACTATCCAATATGGCGGAAAGTTCACTTCGGCGTTCGTGTTTGCGTATTTTCCAAAACATTCGAAACGATTCTCGGGTTATCGGAGACGTTTTGGAATGATCATTGGTGATTTCATAAAAGACAGATACCCGTGATCACTAATATGCTATTTTGGAAATTCATTTCTCCGAGTAAATATCCTAAATTTAGATTTCAAAACATGCTGCCAATAACGCCGTGAGAGGTGATTTAGTAATATGTAAAAAATGGCGACATTTACGATGTACCTAATTTTCAGAGGTCATTGTCAGTAATTTTGCTTGGCCTAAAATGCCAGTGGATGATATCACAGAACAGGTAATTTCCCACCTTATTCAAAACTGTGAAGTGTATTTGTGTGAGTGATGTATTTTGAATTTTATTCGACTTCAAAGTGAGGGTTGTAGAGGAAGGACATATATGTCCCTCTGGCATCCAGGGGGATATGACGGCGGTCTGTAAATAATCGAGTCTGGACCAATCAATCCAGTGATTAATATCATGAGCATCGATCAACGCAATTGGGATACGATGGCATGCATCAACCAATTCAGCGAGCCTGACCACACTATCCCGTTAGTCGCCTCGGCGAAACCGCATTATCAGTGGTTCATATTGGGAAAGGGAGGTCACTCTAAATTCAAACGGGAGCTATCTCCGTTGTTTTCGTATTTGCAAGAAATGGCGTCACCCACGTTGTACGTTGTTAGTCCAGCTATTAAATGCCCAGCTTATCCCTAAGGTAAAACGTATTCTTAATTAAATGTTTGAATGCATTATATATTTATGTTTCCATCTGTACATCTTCTAAGATTGGTTTAGTGCTGATAACCATTTTCTAAAATGTGGGCCGACATTTTTCCCGTCATCTATGGTGATCGAAACAAGTGGGCCCACATTTGTATTTCGCCTAGCTTCGTTAGGTTGTTTCGTTAGTTCTGATAATCAATTCCTAAATGTGTGAAGACGTTCTTCCGTCATATTGATTGCAACAGGAGGGACCACATTTATTCATCGTGAAATTCTACTTAAATATTGATAATCATTTTCTCAAATGTGAGCCCACATTGTTCCCGTCATATATGATGATCGAAACAAGTGGGCCCACATTTGTATATTGCCTAGTATGTAGACGTTCTTCCGTCAAAGTGACTGCAACGGGAGGGACCACATTAAAAAATCGCCAAGCTTCATTAGCTTGGCTTACTTATAACCATTTTCTAAAATTAGGGCCCACATTGTTCCCGTCTTATAGTGATACCCCGGATCTTCACGGGTCCATAATCTAACTTGTCAGGGAAGCTACATGCCTATTGACAGTCTATCAAAATTACAGTTCAGCATACATGTACTGTAGCAGATTGCTCACTAAAATGTAAAGGTGCTTTAGCCTTGGACACATGTGTGATGTCTTTGCAACATCGACATGGACGAATGATATTCCGGAATTTTGAAGTCCATGACTCCCTCACATTATTTTTCACACACATATGTATTTTGTGTATGTATCATTGTGATATTCCAAACGGAATCAAGGCCTGGTTTCAGAATAAGAGCAGGGGGCACGGGTGGCCAAGTCGTCTAAGGCGCCGCGATTCGCTGACCAGAGTTGCTTCCCTTGGGCACGCCAGAAACATATGATTGAGGGTTCGAATTCCGTTTCGCCCCGATTATGTTTAAACGTCTGAGACCTGCATCACTTCGGGCTTTCCTCCCACATTAAGCTGACACGCCGCGATTTAACTGGAATAATGTTAAAAGCGGCGTTAAACCCAACTCACTTAATCACAAAGAATAAGAGCATTAACGTGATTTAAATATCAATAAATAGTTGAAACCAAAATATCATAGAACTTTTAACCAATATATCACAAAGATTCACTTTAATAAGCTCTATTCCTGAAAATGGGCTACAATTCTAAGATATGTACTCATTAATCCCTATGTGGAACCATACCACAAAGACCTCCCGAAATGTGTTTATCAATAGTTGTACGATGTATGCCAATTTGAGGATTCCAGGGTAGAATTCAACGTGAGTACCCCTTGAAAATCGAAAAGACCACCAAGAGCGAATCGGATGTCTACAATGTCGCGTGATCCACTGCATTTGTGTCTGATCCCGTAAGGTGTCATGCTGTCACCCAGTGGTCGGCCTGACAAAGATCCCATTGTCTGTGTACATGAATGCGCGATACATAGCTGAGATACCACGGTACGAAACATTCCTTGGCCCCGTTCCACAAATAGTAGGGCGGTTAAGACGAAAATTGTGCACTTTGGGTTAAAAGCACCAAACTTGGCACACTTATACATTGAATCATTCCGAACATTTTTGGGTGCTGCATATTAGATTTGAATTATATACAACCTTGTTTCCATTAATTTTGGACGAAGTACTAACAATGACAAAATAGTTGCGATAAATTGAATATAAAAGACATGATAAGATATTGTAACCATTTTTGCGTCCATCTTGGATTTTCTACCACCAGGTGGCGCTGCTGAGGTGGATCCATATCCAGAAATGTTCGGAATGATTAAGTGTATAAGTGTGCCAAGTTTGATGCTTTTAACCCAAAGTGTACAATTTTGACAAAAATTCCAGCCTTAACCGCCCCATTAAAAGCGATCGGGGAGCAAAGGTGATCGTATCTACCATACTTTAACACAAACTTACGACCGTCGTAGCGCTATGGTCGCTATTTGGAACGGGGTCCTGCACTCAGTTCTATTGGCAATCTAGGAGCATTTTGCTTCTCAATCAGTTTATTACCCAATAGAGCCACCAATGAGCATACAATAATGCGATAGATATAATTAATCAACATGATAGGAACAATAATATGGTTGCAAGGTTTCATAAAGTGGCAATTTGTAAATGTACAATGAAGCGTAATTTATTGTTTTTACACTTGTAGACAAGTTTGGCAACATTATATATTCGAGTGGTCTGTACAATAACACTGAGTGACTGACTGACTGATTGACTGAGTGTGGTGGTTTTACGCCGCTTTTAGCAATATTCCAGCAATATCAAGGCGGGGGACACCAGAAATGGGCTTCACACATTGTACCCATCACACATTGTACCCATATCGGGAATCGAACCCGGGTCTTCGGCGTGACGAGCGAACGCTTTAACCACTAGGCTACCCGACCGCCCCTGTACAATAACAATATATATATATACTAGTACTAGTAATTATATACAACTTCTAATATCTTTTTCAAAAGCGGAAGGGCAGTTTTGGTTTGTGAGGAAATACAACTACGTTCGTTTTGGAGACATTAACTTTTATTTTTTTGCAGAGTCCAGTATTTGGAACAGTCCCGGAAGAGATTTGTGTTTTTCGTGTGCGGTATTGAAGGTAATATTGAAATATGTATAATACATACGTGTGTCTTCGTCAAAGCATCGCCGAATTTTGAATGCATAGTCCTCTCCGGCAGGTACATCAATATAATTCAAGGTCTTCAGAATGCCTGGAAAGTCGCACTGGCTTAACATTACAGGGATTATCTGATTTTCCTTATTCTCAACAGACATGCCAAACGCAAAATTCCGTTCATATTCGCACCATCGGCTTTCCATGGAAGCAGGAGACAGAATGAAGACAACCTTCACAGAAGACACGATTCCACTCTGTATCAAGGCTCCAACATCGTGGCCGGGGGTAAAGTCTCGTTTTGGCCAAAGGCATTTCAAGCCAAAGTCTCGCTCCATGGTGTTGACCAGTTGCTCTGCCCACTCCGCTTCTTCCGGAGGATCATTACTATGGGAAATGAAAAGATGGTGTGTTTTTCCATTTGGAAGTGGGGGAATGTCCAGATTCAGGGTGTTCCTTTGGAACGCTTCTTCCTCCCTAGCAGCTCTCTCAGCCTCCATGCGGCGTTGTGCCAGCTCAAAGTCATATTCCTCATCTTCTTCCAACTGGATAAGGGTATCGCCATCACTCCAGGTAGCCATTGTTTATTTCTCCAATATCTGAAAGAGTCAATGTATATTTTTCAAATAAAACGTGTTTAGAGGACACTTGCACTGCGTATGAAAACAAAGCTATTCGCTCTGTAGCTCACCTTTGTTGTTTTCTCTGGAATATTATATTAGGTCAGACAGGGCAAATATGGATAAGCAAAAGAAATAAGCAGTAGAAGAATCTACTAAACAGACACCCTCACAGCACGTTCATTGAATTATACAATGGTGTATGTTTAACGTCTTCCTGACTACCATGGCACTATTAGCAGCTGCAGCAGTACAGAAAGGTCAAAAGATGAAGCTATGGCAAATTTCACAAAACAAGTCAAATTATTGTATGTGAAATAAGATAATGACATATGCAGAAATGACTGAGCACCTGAGTGAAAATTGCATTTTTCAATATGTCAGTCACAATCAAAGTAACAAAACATACGGAAAAATAAACTTAATTTAAAAAATGTTTAACATACGTCTATGAGATGAACATATTTGAAAATATACCTTTGCAGGTCAACCTCTAGCAACTTAACACAAGAATATACGTGACTCATGTGGTATAGCCGCAATCTGAAATAGAACAACCGGCTCTTGAGGAGAGGTGAAATGGGGTTTAACGTCGCGTCCAAGATTATTGCATTTATATAGCGACGTGCATGCACGTGTGTGTATATGTGTGTGTGTGTGTGTGTGTGGGTGGGTGGGTGCTTGTACTAGTCCGGACTGATACCGATTTATAGTGCTAGCTCACTGAGATACCATGCCGCAGTTTAACATGAATACCCCACTCAGACACAGTATACTAACTCCGTGCCGACCAGTCCTTGTTTTAGCCCCTAATGCCGAGCGCCAGACAGGGTAACAACAAGTACCATCGTTTAACGTCTTTTAGCATGACGCTGCCGGGGATCTAGACTAGACGACGGAGGCGGTCCAACCAGCTCTTGAAATTAACGGCATTCTATAAGATCATATCAGAGCGACTTCAAGCAATCGGTACCGTGTAACATACTAACGGAAACAGGTAACCGTGCTTCATAAAGTTTAAGAAACAAATTTATTCTGAAATTAAATAATGCATCTTTCAGTTCATATTCATGATATCTTCTCGACTTTAAAGTCATGATTCACAATTTGCATGTTAATGCAAGGCGCACCATTTCGATTTTGCATGACACAGACACAGGCGTTTTTTTTTTAATGTGAACAGCACACAATGATTGTTTAGCTATCAGGTGCTCATTTTGTTTTACCGTAATTGACGCTTACGCGCAGTCCTACAGGAATGGCGCAAAACGAAGTTGCCGGACATTTTATTGTTCATCGAAACACAATATCATCTCTTTCGTGATGTCATCTACAGCAGAGCGGCACTCACGAGTTGTCACGGAATGTCCGTTCACGCGTGACGTCCGTCAGCAAATGAGAGAGAGAGAAAGAGAGAGAGAGGGAGATGGAGATGATGATGATGATGATGATGACGATGATGTATATGAGGTGATGTAGCATCGTAATGCCCCGAGGGATCGGTTCCCGACGAATTTATCTCACCGACATTCATTCATACATATTCAGAATAGATCTCCGAAGTTTCACCGAGTAAACCGCTTTTATAAAGTCATTTTGACAGCTAGCAGAGGACGCAAACTTCCCTTCCCCCAATGCAATCGGATAAACATCGGTTCCTTTCATTCAACGATTCTTATGCGAGTTAAGCAAGTTACCTATGGTGTGTTCCGACAGATTTCTAAGCGGATTAAGGCATGCCAGTTGTGAATGGATCTGAGCTACATGAGCGGGCGGCTTGGAACAAAAGAAATTGCCCACATCTTAACCAATCAGAGGCTAGTATTTAAATGTAAGGTGAGATAAAGATGTATAAACGCATCGCGCACCTCCTGTGGTTGAATTATATTTTTTAACATTAAACATAATGGTTTTGATCCGAAGGTTAAACATTTCAGTGTCCTGAGAAAGGGATGGGGCATATTGGGTTTCAATCGATTTGTTTTCTTGTAGACCCGTACTGCAAACACGTGCTATGAAAATGTTTACAAGACACTGGATATTAACAAACCGCGATGTCGCGCATAGGTAGGAGGGCAAAATATAACACTTCCGCTGGGATCAAAACTATATCACGATAAAGTTGTTGGTGCTTTCTGTGTTGAAAAGACATGAGGATAGGTTCGGTCGGTCACATTCTTACCCCTTTAGCTGTTAGAATAAAGCCCACCATGCCAAGTAACGACGCAATAGAGCCACTGTATAGATTGAAGACTGTTCCGAGAAACCGGTTTATGTTCCACGAAAGGTTTATTAATAGATCTGGGAAATCCATGCATTTCTCTATCGCCAATTACGCAATTACGCAACCCCAACATGTGGCTAACAATCAAATATGAATCGATGAGGGCTGTCGCGTTTCTACAGCCACTGTCGGGGACAACTATGAGGTAGTCTACGCCAGTCTACGAAGCCTCTCTATTCCCCTCGGTACACATTTACTGTGACTGGGACAGGGTTTGTGTCTCGTCACACCACGGCCTGGGGTGCTGTCTGCTGCAGGACGTGGGGCCGCGTGTCACAGTCATTGTGCAATCGAAGGGGTATTACTGCATGCTTAAGAAATACAAAACACAGTTCACGTACCTTGTTACTGTGTGGCGTTAAGCTGGGTAAGGGACGGATACTGACGCGACCAACGGCGACACTGCATTCTGACTCAGCTTCCGGACAACAATGTCAAGGACGGGTTTTTCCTTCTTTCTCATTCGTTTTCATTTCACACACTGGATTCAAAGGGTGTCCGTGTTCTCAAATGCTGATCCAACATAAGGTAGGTGTTGCATGGACTAATGTTCGTCAGCTGTAGATATATTTTAGCTTAAACGCTAAAGCCAGGTTAATTGTGAAACCAGGCATATGGACATTAGTTTGTAGTGGACTGTTGATAAACGAACAGTTTGCATGCAGTAAGCTGTGGCGTTCGACCCGTGGCCATTACCATAGTACATTGAACTATGAACATACCAAAGACAGGTTTGCTTTAGAGACATTGTATGTTAATGTATTTGATTTATTTGAAATAAATGACACTTACACTCACTGGTTACCCAGGTTTTTTTTTTCAAGAAACAGAAATAATATTTTTCACAAAAATCCATTGTCACATGATACGTGTTCCTAAGTCCCAAACATCATGAGGAGGAGGTCACAATGTGTAGCCTGGCTGATATATATATATAGACAAAGCAATATGTTATACGTGTTTACTTTGATTAAATTTAAGAGCCATCTGCTACAAAATAACATGTAGCAATCAATCATTATATTCTACTTCTATCCAACCCGTGAAGATTCCGGGGTAGAATAGGTCTTCAGCCACCCATGCTTGCCGTAAAAGGTGACTATGCTTGTCGTAAGAGACGAGTAACGGGATCAGGTGGTCAGGCTCGCTGATTTGGTTGATGCATATTAACCACTGGATTGTCGGGTCCAGACTCGATTATTTAAAGATCGCCGTCATATAGATGGAACATTGCGGCGTTAAACAACCAACCAACCAACCAAATCTACTTCCATCTATTCATTTTTATAATATGAGATAATGAAATAAAGGAAAATAAGTGATTGCATACACGATTTGCAATCGTAATGAGTTCAACAAGTTTAACAGATATGTAACATGTGATTTTAAATGATACAACTGTCATACGAAGAGACACAGGGTGTATGCTTGATTTTTCAAATTCAAAATCAATTTTTTTCAGACAGCAGCACCTGGATGCAGCCTTGCCACTCCATTGAACCATTTGTAAAGATGATGTTTATTTTGAAATTGTGTATCCTGTTGTACGGTTGCGTTGTAGTGGGTGCATACTATTGTCCCCCAAACGCTCCTCTGGTCATTGGAACCGGTCCTTTGGAAGGGTGTATTAGTACACAGGATTGTCTACGTAGATCGTTTGTGGTGTATGGAAAGACATGCGTGCATTCCTGTCCCCCCGGGACGCTTTACGAACAGGACACTTCCACATGCTACAACACGTGTCCGGCACATACGATCATGGTAGGATCGCGTTGCTTGAATGGGACATACTGTGTGTCCCATAACAACCAGGTCCTGTGAAATGGCACCTGTGTGCCGTCCTGTCCTTCCTCCATGCCTTTCAAGACAAATGGGACTTGTTGTAAGGCATGCCCAGTTGAAACTGTTATGAACGGGTCCGATTGTGTGTCTCCGTCAGACTGTATAGAGAGGGGATATTTCATAGACAACACGACATGTGTTAAAGTTTGTCCTCCTGACAAGCAGTCTATTCTACAAGGTGTCTGTCATTCTTCATGTCCACCTGACAAATCTGTCACGGTAAATGGAAACCAGTGTCTATCAAAACAAGAGTGTACTCGCAGGCTGGGTCAATTTATATACAACAATACTTGTGTTCCTGTTTGTCCAGCTGCTGCTATGTTCAGTGACCAGGGATCATGCACAGCACTGTGCCCAACTGGGAAATGTGTTCTTGGAACTGAATGCATTTATGCCTTTGATCGCCAAAATATGGTTAGTTTCCGAAATGAATGTATTGCCACTTGCCCTGCTGAAGCTCTGTATGCAGTAGATAGTATCTGCTACTCTACATGTCCTCCTAACACTGTGTTGAATAATAAAACATGCATAGGTTTGCAACAATGCATGGATGCATATGGCCTTTATAAAGTAATCTTCAACAATACCTGTGTTGATGCCTGTCCACAAGCTGCACCTTTAAACCATTACGGAATGTGTGTAACAATTTGTCCAGATGAAACTGTAATCGCTGACATGCAGTGTGTTGACGCCTCTATGTGTTTAGACAACAGTAGGTTTATTTTCAACAGAACATGTGTATCTGATTGTCCTAATGCAGTGCCCTACATAGCCAATGGCCTCTGCCAGCCTGCCTGTCCAGAAGACTTTGTTGTAACTGCCCCAGAGAAATTCCAGTGCATTGGCGAATCAGAATGTATAAAGATGAAGAAAATGGTGTCTGACGGAACGTGTGCAACAGCATGTCCAAAAGAATCCTCATACATCAGGTCAGGCCACTGCTACCAAACGTGCCCACAGAAAACTGTTGGTTTGCCTGATATGAACTGTGTAAGTTATCAAGAGTGCAAGGGGCAAGGGATGTTTGTTCATGAATCCAAATGTCTTCATGAATGTCCAGTAACATTTCGGTATAAATTACACAACACATGCATCTTGGAATGTCCTTCAAACACAAGCGTATTCCCAGACAACAAATGTGTTTCTATATCCGACTGCTCAACGATAACAGACGCGGTCAAATACAATGGATCATGTTTGCCACATTGTCCTCCTTATGTCCCATATAAACATTCCGGAAACTGTCTGTCGCAGTGTCCGTCAGGGTTCTTCGCTAAAGGTTTTGACTGCCTTAAGAATTACCATTGCAAAAATGTCTTATACAACGGATCATGCTTTTCATCTTGCCCCCAAGAGGCACCAAACAGAAAGGACAGCAACTGTTACGCTATTTGTCCATCAGACACCTACATTTATCAAGAAAAATGCATAGGTCAATATGATTGTCAGGAGAAGAAGTTCTACATCGCCGGTGGTAGTTGCGTGTCAACATGCCCAGCTGGTAGTGCAGGTTTCACAGATTACGTATGTCACCCCTTGATATATGTGTATGACGCAATTAAGGTTACGCCATTTCTGATGTTGATGGTGCTGATGTGTCTGTTCTTCATGGTTTATAATCCTAAGAAATCAAGGGAAATGAATGCACCACAAAAGCCTCAAAGAGAACATGTAAGTACAAATAGCGTTTTCAAGTTCCACTCAGATAGATTGACGTGTATATTGTATTTAAAGTAAATGTGCTGTTTGTATAAGATATGCGATGTTGACTCTATATACGAACCAAGAGACCTAGAACTGACTAAATATAATATCCAGGTGCAAAGAAAAAGATCCAAGTGATACCTCTAACATCCAACCTCCGTTAGTCAGCTCTTATTAACAGGGGATTGTGGAGATTCCTCTGACAGATGTACATTTGTGCAACTCATTATAGTTTTCACAAGATGTATATATTGTCTTGCTGCTTGCGGGGCGGTCGGGTAGCCTAGTGGTTAAAGCGTTCGCTCGTCACGCCGAAGACCCGGGTTCGAATCCCGACATGGGTACAATGTGTGAAGCCCATTTCTGGTGTCCCCCGCCGTGATATTGCTGGAATATTGCTAAAAGCGGCGCAAAACCATACTCACTCACTCACTCTTGATGCTTGCAGTCGTGCATAATGAACATGTGTCTTATATGATATATGTGTTATGCATCATGATCATATATGTGTCAAACTTTGGTTTCATATGTGTGTACACACCACACATGTACGTTCATTGTACATTGGCCGTCACTCAATGTTGGTTCAGGGCTCCCTGGGGTATCGAATCCCGACATGGGTACAATGTGTGAAGCCCATTTCTGGTGTCCCCCGTCGTGATATTGCTGGAATATTGCTAAAGGCGGCGTAAAACCATACTCACTCACTCCCTGGGGTAACCGTGTGGTGTCCTTCGCCGTGCTATTGCTGGAATACTGCTGAAGGGGCGTAAAACATACTCACTCAATCAGTCACTGTGAAGCTTCATATGAACTCATACAAAGTGAAACCCAATTGTGAAATATGCGTCATGCATGTTATGTACAGGGGTGTTCCATAAGTTTTGCAACTTCAATATAAGACCAAGTCGCAGAATATCTTCTGCACTTTTATTTTTTAATATAATCTCCATTCACCTCAATACACTTATTCCATTTGTCCTTCAAGCTTTCAGTACCACTTTTGTAGAAATCCGCAGATTGGTTTTCTAACTACGTCTCTGTGGCAGCCTTTATGTCCTCGTCATCCTGGAATTGTCTTCCACGTGGGGCAGATTTCATTTGCCGGAACAGGAAATAGTCACTGGGGGGCTAAGTCTGGGTTCGAACAGTTAAATCACACACCCTACAGCCCAGACTATAAAAGTGCAAAAGATATTCTACGACTTGGGCTCATATTGAAGTTGCAAAACTTATTGAACGACCCTCGTATATGTTGTACATCTGATATATTATTGTAAAATTTTGAAGTTGTGTCAATCTACATTTATCATTGCAGCTTACTTGTGGAGAGTGTGACATGCTGGAGTACGTGACATTTGACAATATCACTAGACAACAGCAGGACAACGCTGAACTTCCGGAGGAAGAAAACATGGACGTTAGTTCAGATGAAGAGCTGCTCCCAATGCAAGAACAGCGAAATGCTGCTATTCAGAATGCAACAGCCTTGAGTCACAATGGAGACATTCTTGGCTTTGCGAACTGTTTCAATAACGTGATAATCCATCCAGGAAGAGACCACGACGATGTGCTGCTGTTACAAGTTACATCAGAAGACGCGCCTTTGATCCAGCACAATGATGATGCTTTCTTATTTGGTGATGGATTAAATTGAATTGATGAGAATGTTAAAAGTCTAACTAACCAGACGGGACATTTGATTGGCAGCTATCTGAAAATAGCCACTTTCATTCACCTTTTCGACCAATGATGGCGTGTGTCGTTATTACTGTCATAGCGACTTATTTACGACACCCATTGTCTGAAGAACATTTAATTGCAAAGGCTCATTACCCGGGAGCCATGACATCTATATGCCTTGAAGCACTTAATTGCTGTTATTTATAAGATGCTTATCCTCATTGTCAATCCCCATTTTTGTGTTCATAGACCGTCTGCCATCCTGAACGAGATGTGCAAGTATGTCACTGATGAATTACTGTTTATATATATATTTATTACTAAGTAAATGTCAGGTGACCTTGGCTATATAAGCCTTGGTCCAGAGAGATTGAAAAAAGAATAAAGAAAGATCTTACCCTTAGCCTAGCTAGGGTTAGGCTGGGTGCTCCGGGGCACCTAGACAACAACCACTACCACTATGTGCAGACCTGGCAAATAGTGTCTTTTGTATGTATATATCTACATGTATAAAGTAAAACTGTATATACCAAAATCGTCTCCAAGTTGTCACTTCCTACTGAGAACCATACGTCCGCCCCTTGCATATACGATTATGCAAATTATTCAGTTCAGTTTATTTCTCTGAAAAACCACCAACGGTGGTACAAGAGTATATATATATACATACAACATATAATATACAATGCAGATCAAGATGGTAACAAGCCTAAAATAGAAAAAATAAAAAATAAATAAAAATTAAGCAAATAATAATTCTTTTGGATGTAAAGAAGTCGTTGTTGAGAAGTGCTTCATACCTAAAAAGATAGTGAAATTCGTCTCCAACAGCAGATGAATTGCATAGTGTGCAGACACATTCTTCTCTCAGTAACCTTCTCCATCGGCCGGTTTCAATGGGCAAATGATGATTAGATGTGCGAAATTGTAAAATTGGCAAGTAGATAGTTTTTGGAAGTAATAGAAATTTTTCGAATTTTGGTAATTCTTTTAAATATTTGTAGTATAAACCTTTTGAACTTGATAAGATACATTTTCGCCACTGTTGAATAAATTGGTCTTTAAGAGTTCTCTCGACCTTTGAAGCCAGCCATGAAGTAGAACAAATAGACGGGTTTATGAATATTTCTGACAGTCCGACATCATTTAGTATTTTTTTTACTGTAGCTATCCACTTAAGTGATTTTGCGTTTGCATCATAGTCTTTTATCAAATAGTTATATAAAATGTTAGATAACTTTGTTGGTCCGTTATAATTCGTTAGTTTATGCCAGAAGGAAATCATCCGTTTAAATACTTTAATTTTGAGGGGTTCCCTGCCAAGTTCCCAATAAACCAAAAAATTGGGTGTTGAATTCCTCAGACCAGTTACTATTTTTTTAAATTTCAATTGCATTTTCTCTATCATTTCTAAATTTTCAAAACCCCATATTTCGGAGCAGTACAGAAGGATTGGCACTACCATCACGTCAAACGCCTTCAATAAACAATCTAATGGTAGGTTAACGTTTCGTGCTCTTATTATAAGGAAGTACATTGCTTTTGTCTCGTTTGCTCTTAGTCATTTCATACAAAACACAAGTTGTCTATTTCTGTGAAGATTTATACCTAAATATGTATAATTATCAACAATCTCGAATATCTTTCCCCCAAAATGAAATATTGATTTGGTTGATTTGGCTGGGCCCCCTCCAAAGATTATTATTTTTGTTTCTGAGATATTTACGTTTAGCTTCCTTTGTAAGCAATATTGGTTAAAGGAATCTGACGAGTTTTGCAATCCAGATTGGGTATCGCTAAATATGACTGTATCGTCTGCGTAGAGTAGTACTAAAATATGTAACCAAACTATGATGTCATTTCCTGATATACAATCAAATGAGATCCCTTGGCATCCTTGTTTTGTAAGATACGATTCAAGATCATTTAAAAATATTGAAAACAGTAATGGTGATAGATTTTCGCCCTGTCTAACACCCGATTGAGGGAAGGGAAGTACTCTGATTCTGCATTATTTGATTGTACCATTGATTTAATATTACTGTACATATTTTTAACTAGAGTTAGGAATCGGCCCTCAATTCCACTGTTTTGCATTTTAGACCACAATCCTACTCTCCAGACAGTATCAAATGCTTTTGTAAAATCTATGAACGCACAATAAAGTTGTTTTTTTGACAGTTTCAAAATATGCATCAACGAATGGATAACGAATATATTGTCAGCAGTTTGAAATTGTTTCCTAAATCCCGACTGTGCCGAAGTTAGGATATTATTGGCATCTAGAAATTTTGTAAGTCGTTCGTTTAGGATACTGGTGAATAGTTTTCCGAAACAGCTTAATATCGTAATGGGTCGCCTTTATTGTGAAGATAGGTTTTATAATTCCCGAGAGCCACGTTTCAGGGATTACACCGCATGAGAGTACAAGATTGAAAAATTCCGAATATAGTGGGTCAAGTACTCCAATGCTGTCTATTATATGATCATTCTCGACAAAATCCAGCCCAGAAGCCTTATTTCTTTTAAGTTTCTTTGCAGCCGTTATAATTTCTTCAGTCGTTATATCATTGTTTAAGATTTTACAATCATACACCAGTGTTGCAGTTGCACATCTTTCTAATTCAGAGTCATCAATTAATATAAAAATTATAGAAGGAATTTATATCAGGAGCTTTCGGATAAGTTCATTAATCAACGTAAACCACACGCGTTGTTATTACTAAACATTTCCATGAACAGGTCATTTTCCAACTTTGGGTGCCGTCCCAATATTACAGTTTCGGGGTAATCTCCCTTGGAACTGATTCCCATTACAGGATAAACTTCTAATTTGCTCTACAGCATGGATCTTTACATTCTGAATAAAATATGTTGCTTATCAACCAAATGAAGATATGTTTGTGACAGATCTGAATAATCCCAATATGGATTATATTATTGAAGAAATGACAGTAATTTTTGCATTTATTCATTTGCGAAAAAAATGCACACCGGTTTTTACGTGTATAATTCTCCAAAACAACAACTTATAAACAAATGTGTCAATAGTAGAAACTTCATAGACTATATATATAATTACTGACAGAAAAATAACTGTAGACGGTCAACAAATAATAAGTCAACCGTAATAACCACACTCCTTTTTAATAATTTTCACAAAACGCTGTAGACATCCGTATGAAAAGAGTAACATGTCACAAGACAAATATCAATCAGTTCAATGTCATGTTCCACCGCCCTATTATCAGCCAGTCAGGAAACAGTAAATTAGAACGAGGTCAAGACTATGGCGTTTGAATTTCATTGATTTCACCAGATCCGAGGTTTAATGCACAGTGGTGAAACCTGAAATTTAAGAGAGATCCTGTGTTTTCTCGACAAGGATTATTCCAAAAACGCGAAACAAGGCCTTGTTAACTGATTGTTCAGCTTGAGGCGGATGCTGAACCGAGGTGGCAGAAACCACACAGGACAGAGCAAAAAGAGTGTCTGTGTTGTCTATCAATGGCGATTGTAACTTCTTTCCGAGCTTTCAATTTTGTGTCCACTCACGAGCACCGTGTGCCTCAGCTCATTTATTATCGATACACCTGAGGTTTAAGTTACACGTCTTTTGCCACAATTATCTGCCTTTACTTATTCAAGGAGAAGTATGCACTAACACAAGGAGAGGCCTGTTCTAACACAAGGAGAGGCCTGCATTAACACAAGGAATTGCCCTGTACTTACACAAGGAGATGTCTGTACTAACACACGGGGATGCATGTGCTATCACAAGGGGATGCCTGTACTATCACAAGAGGATGCATGTACTATCACAAGGGGATGCATATACTATCACAAGGGGATGCCTGTACTATCACAAGGGGATACATGTACTATCACAAGAGGATGCCTGTACTAACACTAGGAGATGCCTGTACTAACACAAGGGGACGCCTGTACTATCACAAGAGGATGCCTGTACTATCACAAGGGTATGCCTGTACTATCAAAAGGAGATGCATGTACTATCACAAGGGGATGTCTGTACTAACACAAGGGGATGCATGTACTATCACAAGGGGATGCCTGTACTATCACAAGGTGATGTCTGTACTAACACAAGTGGATGCATGTGCTATCACAAGGGGATGCCTGTACTATCACAAGGGGATGCATGTACTATCACAAGGGGATGCATGTACTATCACAAGGGGATGCCTGTACTATCACAAGGGGATACATGTACTATCACAAGAGGATGCCTGTACTAACACTAGGAGATGCCTGTACTAACACAAGGGGATACCTGTACTATCACAAGAGGATGCCTGTACTATCACAAGGGGATGCCTGTACAATCAAAAGGAGATGCATGTACTATCACAAGGGGCTGCCTGTGCTATCACAAGGGGATGCATGTACTATCACAAGGGGATACTTGTACTATCACAAGGGGATGCCTATACTATCACGAGGGGATACATGTACAATCACAAGGGGGTGCCTGTACTAACACAAGGAGATGCATGTACTATCACAAGGGGATGCCTGTACTATCACAAGGGGGTGCATCTACTATCACAAGGGGATGCCTGTACTATCACAAGGGGATACATGTACTATCACAAGAGGATGCCTGTACTAACACTAGGAGATCCCTGTACTAACACAAAGGGACGCCTGTACTATCACAAGAGGATGCCTGTACTATCAAAAGGGGATGCCTGTACTAACACAAGGGGATGCCTGTGCTATCACAAGGGGATGCCTGTACTATCAAAAGGAGATGCATGTACTATCACAAGGGGATGCCTGTACTATCACAAGGGGATGCCTGTACTATCACAAGGGGATGCTTGTACTATCACAAGGGGATGCCTGTACTATCACGAGGGGATACATGTACTATCACAAGGGGGTGCCTGTACTAACACAAGGAGATGCATGTACTATCACAAGGGGATGCCTGTACTAACACAAGGGGGTGCCTGTGCTATCACAAGGGGATGCCTGTACTATCACAAGGGGATGCTTGTACTAGCACAAGGAGATGCCTGTACTATCACAAGGGGATGCCTGTACTATCACAAGGGGGTGCCTGTTCTATCACAAGGGGATGCTTGTACTAACATAAGGGGGTGCCTGTACTATCACAAGGGGATGCCTGTACTAACACCTGGGGATGCTTGTACTAACACAAGGAGATGCATGTACTAACACAAGGAGATGCATGTACTAACACAAGGAGATGCCTGTATTAACACAAGGGGATGCCTGTGCTATCACAAGGGGATGTCTGTACCAGCACAAGGAGATACATGTATGAACACAAGGGGATGCCTGTACTATCACAAGGGGATGTCTGTACCAGCACAAGGAGATACATGTATTAACACACGGGGATGCCTGTACTTACACAAGGAGATGCATGTACTAACACAAAGAAATGCATGTACTAACACAAGGAGATGCATGTACTAACACAAGGAGATTCTTGTACTAACATAAGGGGGTGCATGTACTATCACAAGGGGATGTCTGTACCAGCACAATGAGATACATGAACTAACATAAGGGGATGCATGTACTAACATAAGGGGATGCATGTACTAACATAAGGGGATGCCTGTACTAACACAAGGAGATGCATGTACTATCACAAGGGGATGCCTGTACTATCACAAGGGGATGCCTGTACTAACACAAGTGGATGCCTGTACTAGCACAAGGAGATACATGTACTAACATAAGGGGATGCATGTACTAACATAAGGGGATGCCTGTACTATCACAAGGGGATGCCTGTACTATCACAAGGGGATGCATGTACTATCACAAGGAGATGCATGTACTAACACAAGTGGATGCCTGTACTAGCACAAGGAGATACATGTACTAACATAAGGGGATGCATGTACTAACATAAGGGGATGCATGTACTAACATAAGGGGATGCCTGTGCTAACACAAGGAGATGCATGTACTATCACAAGGGGATGCCTGTACTATCACAAGGGGATGCCTGTACTATCACAAGGGGATGCATGTACTATCACAAGGAGATGCATGTACTAACACAAGTGGATGCCTGTACTAGCACAAGGAGATACATGTACTAACATAAGGGGATGCATGTACTAACATAAGGGGATGCATGTACTAACATAAGGGGATGCCTGTACTAACACAAGGAGATGCATGTACTATCACAAGGGGATGCCTGTACTATCACAAGGGGATGCCTGTACTAACATAAGGGGATCCCTGTGCTATCACAAGGGAATGTCTGTACCAGCAAAAGTAGATTCATTTATTAACACAAGGGGATGCCTGTACTTACACAAGGAGATGCATGTACTAGCACAGGAGATACATGTACTAACATAGGGGGATGCATGTACTAACATAAGGGGATGCATGTACTAACATAAGGGGATGCCTGTACTATCACAAGGGGATACATGTACTAACATAAGGGGATGCATGTACTAACATAAGGGGATGCCTGTACTATCACAAGGGGATGCCTGTACTATCACAAGGGGATGCATGTACTATCACAAGGGGATGCCTGTACTATCACAAGGGGATGCCTGTACTATCACAAGGGGATGCCTGTACTATCACAAGGGGATGCATGTACTATCACAAGGAGATGCATGTACTAACACAAGTGGATGCCTGTACTAGCACAAGGAGATACATGTACTAACATAAGGGGATGCATGTACTAACATAAGGGGATGCATGTACTAACATAAGGGGATGCCTGTACTAACACAAGGAGATGCATGTACTATCACAAGGGGATGCCTGTACTATCACAAGGGGATGCCTGTACTAACATAAGGGGATCCCTGTGCTATCACAAGGGAATGTCTGTACCAGCAAAAGTAGATTCATTTATTAACACAAGGGGATGCCTGTACTTACACAAGGAGATGCATGTACTAGCACAGGAGATACATGTACTAACATAGGGGGATGCATGTACTAACATAAGGGGATGCATGTACTAACATAAGGGGATGCCTGTACTAACACAAGGGGATACATGTACTAACATAAGGGGATGCATGTACTAACATAAGGGGATGCCTGTACTATCACAAGGGGATGCCTGTACTATCACAAGGGGATGCATGTACTATCACAAGGGGATGCCTGTACTATCACAAGGGGATGCCTGTACTATCACAAGGGGATGCCTGTACTATCACAAGGGGATGCATGTACTATCACAAGGGGATGCCTGTACTAACACAAGGGGATGCCAGGGCTATCACAAGGGGATGCCTGTACTATCACAAGGGGATGCCTGTACTAACATAAGGGGATCCCTGTGCTATCACAAGGGAATGTCTGTACCAGCAAAAGGAGATACATTTATTAACACAAGGGGATGCCTGTACTTACACAAGGAGATGCATGTACTAGTACAAGGAGATACGTGTGTTAACACAAGGGGATGCCTGTACTAGCACAAGGAGATACATGTACTAGCACAAGGAGATACATGTACTAACATAAGGAGATGCATGTACTAACATAAGGGGATGTCTGTACCAGCACAAGGAGATACGTGTGTTAACACAAGGGGATGCCTGTACTAGCACAAGGAGATACATGTACTAACATAAGGAGATGCATGTACTAACACAAGGGGATGCCTGTACTAACATAAGGGGATGCCTGTACTAACACAAGGGGATGCCTGTACTAACATAAGGGGATGCCTATAAGGGGATGCCTGTACTAGCACAAGGAGATACATGTACTAACATAAGGAGATGCATGTACTAACACAAGGGGATGCCTGTACTAACATAAGGAGATGCATGTACTAACACAAGGGGATGCCTGTACTAACATAAGGGGATGCATGTACTAACACAAGGGGACGCCTGTACTAACATAAGGGGATGCCTGTACTAACACAAGGGGATGCCTGTGCTAGCTCAAGGAGATGCCTGTACTAACACAAGGGGATGCCTGTACCAGCACAAGGAGATACATGTATTAACACAAGGGGATGCATGTACGAACATAAGGGGATGCTTGTACTAACACAAGGGGATGCCTGTACTATCACAAGGGGATGCCTGTACTAACACAAGGGGATGCCTGTACTATCACAAGGGGATGCCTGTACTAGCACAAGGGGATGCCTGTACTATCACAAGGAGATACATGTTCTAACCTGTTCTAACATAAGGGGGTGCCTGTACTAGCACAAGGAGATAAATGTACTTACATAAGGGGATGCCTGTACTAGCACAAGGAGATACATGTACTAACATACGGGGATGCCTGTACTAACACAAGGAGATACATTTACTAACATAAGGGGATTCCTGTTTTAACACAAGGGGATGTCTGTACTAGCACAAGGAGACACATGTACTAGCACACGGGGATGCCTGTACTAGCACAAGGAGATGCATGTACTAGCACAAGGAGATGCCTGTACTAACACAAGGGGATGTCTGTACCAGCACAAGGATATACATGTATTAACACAAGGGGATGCCTGTACTAACACAAGGAGATGTCTGTACTATCTCAAGGTGGAGTAAAAGTCAATATATATTAAATGAATACAATTCGTCAAAATTCTCTCTGACATTAACACAACCTATTCTTGAAAACTCTTCTGAGGTATGGGATAACTATTCTGGCAATATTTATACAGCTGAATTCTGCTAGATTTGTTACAGGCTTGATTAAAGTTTGCATCAACGGAAAGCTTATATTTCGCAATGGGTTTTCCACCTTTAAAAGAGAGAAGAAACATCATAAAAACAAAACAAACTAAAAACACAAAATGACAAAAGAACGACATACCAAAACAATGCGTTACCTCACAATAGATCAGCTGTTTCAAATTATAATCTGCGTGAAAAGTGTTCCTTTTGCCAGAACATTTACGTTTGAAAAGCGATTTAGTATAGTTTCTTAAAGGTAAGTTGCAAAATTAGTATTTCTATCACTACAATTAAAACAAGATAGCATTCAAAAGTTATTAGCGCTCCATATTATTTCAGTGATGGAAATCGTGCAATTGATAATATCCTCCTGAGGCATAGATGTAGCAATATGAATGTTGATGTGTTTTGAGTTAATTTGTAGGACTTCATTTTAACAGCGATTCACGGACTGCTGTCGTAATAACATTTCATAAAGAAACTTTATAAATTAACCACAATGTATAAATGTTCCACGAGTACATTTTCAGCACATTACAGCCGAGTTCGGAAAGGGTGGAAACTGCACTTTCAGTTAAGTCCTTTTCCTCGGGAAGATGTCAGTTAACTCGTTAGGTCTTTTGGAAAACTACATGTTGATTTGGAGTATCGAGAAAAACAAGCGTCTCATAACAAACAAGTCAGCGAGCAAGACCTCGATTTAGTCAGTATTCCTTATAATATGCAAAACAGGGTGGCCGGTGCAGTTTACGCCATGTAAAAAATGACAAATGATTATCACAATGCACAATAAGCTGCTTTTTAATAAGGTTTATTTTAAGATTGTGTAGAAACATCCTTAACTAACACAGTTATATATCAAAAAGTATGCTGCGTATTTAATATGTACATTTCTGGTGGTAAATTTGATAGGACTTAAGATCTTGATACTGAATCAAGTCAAGATGCATAACCATATCAACCAGTCGCACTCCCCAACATCATGTCAAATAAAAAAAAGAACAATCCAGCGGTAAATACCTCAGATAACCAGTTTTGTTTAACATTATCCTCTTAACCTCCAAGCATTAAATAATATTAATGCGGGTGACGATTACAATGCACTCTCAACAATCTGATCCTATGGCTGAGAAGTCTACATTGACTTAAACAATGCATGATGCAACGTCCAGTTTCTCCAAGTTCCAGCCATATGACAAGCCAATCTCAGTTTGTTTTACATAAAGTTACAAAGCGCAAGACAGTAAACTATACCCGAATCGAAGCAACGTCTTGAATACATTTACATTTTACATTAGATATGGACACGTAGTCCAATGCCATCGTAGTTCTGATTTCTGAGTATTTGAGTCCGTCTTTGTATTCTGATATTACGCGCATTTGTGTCAATTCTGTTCAGGGCAGAGTGAACCTGATGTTGTCCCTGAACTTGCTGTCCTTCATCTTTTCCTGGTACAGCTTGTCAAACATCTCGTTCTGATCTGGTGTCAACCAGTTCTGCCAGTCACCAACCTGACCTGAAACGAGGAACATAATAAAAGTAGAATGAGTGAGTTGGCTTTAATACTTTTCCAGTTGTCCACGGGGAAATCTGAAATATGATTGGATAAAATTTAAAGTCAAGAATGAACTTGGCACCATTAATGTTGTGTACACTTGAGTATTTAAGAATGGAGTTTGATGAAGCTTTGGGTGAACAGCTTTGAATGTTTTGTGTATGAAACACGGTTCAAATTTCACGAGATTTTAGATTAAGTTACGTTTGTGTCAAATGTCAGAAATTGCACTGCAGTTTCTGCTTCAAAGTTGTACTGCCCTGGGCGTGTGTTTTACCAACCAGAGTTTATGCTGTTAAGCCGAAAGAGTTTGTAACTTTGTAGCATGTTGCTGGAAGCAAAGTCTTTTCTGTTTCAAAGTCATCCAAAATCCCAAGAAGAAAGAAAAGGTAGAGAGTTTCGACAAGCGGGTACTAGTGTCAAGAGGTGTCCTGATTTACTGATTTAAATACTACGATGACACAGACTTTAAACACGGACGACGGGACAGTTGATGTAATGTCCTGACTTGCAGCTACTCGGAAGGTGTTTAATTCAGTTTTCATAAACAGGTATTTAAAATCATCTTTAATTTCAAAACCCATTTTAATTTATTTTCATGCCTTTGAGACATTCCCTCATCAGCCGGCTGGATGTTAAGGTGACCTTTGGAACAGTCGGTCATACAACATAACTAGCTTGATACATTTTGAAGAGAAACGTAAAGACATTTTGACAAAACCTGTAAAAGGAGGTAGAGGTTTGGACACGACTGCACACAGTCTCTTGAAATTAATGCTTCACCTTATTTAGACGAGAGCAACGTTAAAAAACAAGGGAAACAATAAAAACAATAATGTCGTTATTATTACCCATAACTCCTTTAGCTTACCTTTCCTGTAAACAAAAAGTTTGCCCTTAAACTTAGGATCATATGGTTCCTTGTCCTCCTTCATATTCTCAAAAGAACATTTGTCCGCCACGGCGTTGTACAGTGAGTCATCTGCAGATACTCCCAGAAACACTGCCAACTTCCGTATCTCTTCCACGGGGTTCTGGAGACAAAATCAAGTCCATGCATAAGTTATTCATCAAAGTGTTCATATCCCCATAATAATACATACCTTCTGTGCCGTGACGCTATTTCAGTGGACATTAGCCATAGAAGTACTGACCTGCTTCATGTCTTCATAGTAAATAATGTGTATTGGATGTCTGTCTCGCTGGGCCTCCATGTCCTTCTCCCACTGGAGGATAGCATCGAACCAGGATCCGTAGTCCGCTACAAGAGAATGATTTGCTTCTACATATATGACTTGGAAACTTTTATGCATCAAAAACAAGTTACTGGCTGAAACATATTTTGTTATCAAAAGTTTCAAATGGTCGAGCCTTCAGCTGGGATCCTAAGTCCGCTACAACAGCTCGTTTACATTTGCATGTTTTTGTTGATGTATAATATACCTTAAAAATGGAAATGACTAATATAACGTTACAATCGTTACTGACTTTATTTCAGTCCCCCATCCCAATTTAAATCACATTATAAGCCGATCTTTTCCTCTGATGCGATGACTCTCTCCATCAAGAAATACATAGGAGGTCACGTCATGTGAACGTTATCATATGCCAATCAATGTGAAGACCATTCAGTTCCCGGTACTAGCTGGCAAAGTATTCGGATCGACATGGCACAATCTTCCAACAGTTTTGTACACCACCCAAGGGGATTCCAGGTGAGACAATACACTGCCCATACCCCCTTAAAAATGAATTTGACAAAAAAATGACACTTTTTAAATTTATCAAAACCTTACTAGGCTGAAACCATTCGCCGCAACACTGCAAGCGTCAGGTCCAAAACACAACTTTGACACCCGTATCAAATAGATCCCGATCAAATAACATTTCTTCTTGTTTCATTTATAGCCACTGGCAATGTTCCAGCTAAATGACGGCGGTCTGTAAATAATCGAGTCTGGACCAGACAATCCGGTGATTAATATCATATGCATCGATCCACGCAATTGAGATCGATGACATGCATCAACCAATTCAGCGAGCCTGACCACCCGATCCCGTAAGTCGCCTTTTACGACAAGCATAGTCGCCTTTTAAGGCAAGCATGGGTTGCTGAAGACCGAGATTTCCAAATCTAAAGGTTCAATCTCGTTTTAGAAAACTGACATCAGATTATCTCGCCAACCCACGCATAATCTATTTACATGTGGTGGTGAAAGTTCTTTCAAGGTTCACCTGACGTGACAGCATTCTGGAAGGTTTGCCCCCAAAAATAGGTAGCTGTCGAATCAGAGTAATTGGTCTGATTTCAAGGAGATTGCAATGGCAAATGTAGATGAGGTGGTCAGGCTCGGTGACATGGTTGATGGCGATAGTTGGATGGTTGCTCACAATATTAATCACTGGAGTGTATAATCCAAATTTGATTGCGGCGTTAAATAACAAAGAAACAAACAAATGACAAATGTCTTACTTTTCCCAGCCAGAAAGAAAGGGAGATAATCGTTTAACGATCCATTGTAATTCTTGTACAGATTCTCGAAAGATTTATGGTGGTTATAGAAGGACACGGCAACATCCTTAGGGTTTCTAAGGACATAGATCATCCGACACTTCTTCTCTCTGGCTTGTAACGGAAGTTGGTTGTACCGGACATGCGTGTTGAGGACACGAGGGGATGCTGGGAAGGCGTCTATGACTTCCTGTGGCTGCAGCTCCACCATGACTTTGCTCTTCCAATGAGGGATGGTCTCCGCCTTACCCTGGAGCAGCATGGACGTGATCTCCCAGGTCTAATGTGTACCTGGGAACATCAGGCATCTAATTCGAGTATTGTACTGGTATTTGGTAGTACGTCATAAATAATAACTTGCTGAGTGGGACGACATTCATATGACGTTTGGTGTAAAGGTTAAATCGTCAGCATAATTTATGTCACCCCCCCCCCCCCCCCCCCCCTCCCCCCTTAACAAGTGGCATGTAACCAACATACGACTAGCCAAAGACTAGCACATGAACAATTGTTTCTTTAATTGGTTGGCAGATGACCAGTAGTTGCTCAACGTGTAGTTTCGTCAAGAATTTGTCAAGAATCAATCATAATTCTTCCATGCAGCTTACGTAGAGCGAATGCATTTGCAACATTTCTTCAACGCGCATATTCTTACCGAAAAGAAGTTGGAAACTGTCATGTTCACAAATTACAAGTCTGAATGGAAAGATATTATGAAAAATGAGGATAAAAATCGAAAACTTCGATCCTACAAGACGTTTAAACACCACTTCGAATGCTTGGTTGGTTTGTTGTTTTACGCCGCACTCAGCAATATTCCAGCTATATGGCGGCGGTCTGTAAATAATCGAGTCTGGACCAGACAATCCAGTGATTGACCTCATGAACATCGATCCACGCAATTGGGATCAACCAAGTCAGCGAGTCTGACCACCCGATCCCGTTAGTCGCTTTTTACGACAAGCATAGTCACCTTTTACGGCAAGCATGGGTTGCTGAAAACCTATTCTACCCCGGATCTTCACGGGTTCAACGTCGAATGCGAAAAATATGTCAAAGTCCATTTGTAACGCAAGCAGTGGAGCGTGCTTGCTAAATTTAGATGTTGTGTAGCCCCAATAAGAATAGACTGGACGCTATGAGAATATTCCAGCAGATCACAGAAAGTGTTTTAATTGTGTTAATTGTGTAGAAGATGAGGCTCATTTGTTGTTAAGCTGTCCTTGATTTGCTGTTTTAAGGTTAAGATTTTTGACGGAAATATGGCCCGGTTTTAATGTGTTTTAACAACTTGCCCTACTTTTATCAAATGATGGCACGGTTTCTTCTGTAGCCAAAATCTGTTTCAATATCTCAGAGCAGTGTTTTTACCATCTCTCATAAATCGCGCGGCGATTAGTCGCAATTTAGTTTTACTGTATATAATAGGTATGTTCTTTGTAATTGTAATTGTAAAATATTTACCATGTACAACATACGCATCTCAAGGGTTATGCCTACCGCAGCTGACAAGCGAGCAGGTTTATTAACAATCACAAATAAATACACTCATCAAACTTTCATCGTCTTTCAAGTCGAATCCACGAATCTGTCAACACCGCCTCCGTTTTCAGCTACCTGAAATATACAATTCCCAACTAAAATTGTGACCAAAGCAAACATGTTGTAACAAGTTTTGCAGTTGTTATTCAGAAATGTTCCCACATCACACTAAACACATCGTATCACTCAAATACAAGGATCTGCCCTACGGCTAAATTTTGCCCAACGGCTCAACTTTGCCCAACGGCTAAACACTCCAATACTTTGTAACCTCAAATTCTTGAGCCAATATTTTGCAAGATGTAAAATCTGCTCGCCTGTGTAATGCGAAGACCTCGAATGGTTCAACACAGTCAGTGAACACTACACGTCACCTTCCTCACGTGACTTTATGACACCACATTCACGTGCAATGTACCTGGCTGCGGCAGGCAAACTCTTACCGTATTTAACGCATAATAAATTAATTCTCTCTGTCTGTCACAAAGTTGTCGCTCTCGCTCTGCCATCTCCCTCTGTATTTAAGGTGTAATAAAGCCTAATAATAGAACGACATTATATAAATTTCATTCTCTTTTCTTAAGTACATGTCATCCATGCACATTTCTTCCGTTTGCGCAGCATGTCTATTGTCGAGGACTACGACATGGGAGGTAACGCCATCAGCTTCCTGGAGGTCGATGGTTTTCGGTATCCTATCGTTGACCCAGAAATAGTCAAGGGCATGTCGCAGCTGAAGGCCAAGGATGACGATATCTTACTACTGGCGTATCCAAAATCAGGTAGCTTCACTGGCATCTGCGTAGCATAGCCCCTCATCCGTTCATCGTCTGATAAAAGTTTATCTACATAACGCTACTGGGGGCTAGAATTTGTCCCGTTAGAAACGTCTGACAATGTGCGCTGTTGGATTTACAGCGCACTTCTACACCTCCATTTGATAAGTGATGTATTTTCTAAAACAAGACCATGTAACGTCCATCCTCTGTGGCTACACCTTTAGTCAATGACCCAGGCAAGCCTTACATGAAAGTATCTAAAGGCCAGGGTGCATATGATCTCCTCATGCTGTTGAAGTACATGATAACCAAGGGATCATGTCAACATCAGCGTGTCTTGCAGTTGTTGGAACCCCCTGAAGACCCCTTTAATGCCTCCTTTGACCCACTGCAACAACGTACAGGTTATACACTAAAGGGTTACCAGTCCATGTGAGCTTACAAATACTACCATTCCAGCCATTTTCATCGCTATCATAATCGTCTCAAAGGAATCGTCTAACACAGGCTACCTACTTTAGATTTGTTGTTCTGTAATCCAGTTCGCCACTCCATCTCTCTGCCCTGCCCCCCAACACACACACACACCGTCCGTCACACGCCGCCCCGCTTCCTTCCTCTTCCTCTCACCCCTCCGCGCATGCGCCCGAAAACCCAATCCTGTCACTTCCCGCGAGATCCCGTCATTTCGGTGAGATCCCGTCACTTCCATCGAGATCCCGTCACCTCCGGCGATATTCTGGCTATTCCGGTTAGATTTAGAGATGCATATTAAATCCAATAGCGTACATTGGCATTCTTGTCGAATGTGACGATGCGAAGTTCCAATGGCCAGAAGTGACATAGAATACTGATATCAAACAGGAAACCGATGTGGGGATGCAGTAACCGCAGCTTCTTCACCGGTAATAGTGACTTGTTTTGTTGGTTATTGACAAACTATAACCTTAAATTAGAAGTGGCTATCGCTCATTCACCAATTGAAACTTAGAAAAAAAATCCCACCAAAATACATCATCATTCAATGTCATGGCAGAAATAATATCAATTGTAGACTTTTAATGAAACTACATACTTGACCAGCTGCTAGAGGTCTTTCTACCCAAAAAAGAAACAATTGCTCATATTCTATATGTTGGTCTCATGGCGTCTTTTTTATGGGGGGTGGGGTGCGGATGGGATTTCATATTTGATGACGATTTATCTTTGATTGATAACACCAGTCTACATCCGTCAAGGGAATATTGTCCCACTGAGCGAGTTATTGCCATGTTATACGGTACTACCAAATACCAGTACAATACTCGAATTATATGCCTGATGTCCCCAGGTACACATTGGACCTGGGAGATCACGTCCATGCTGCTCCAGGGTAAGGCGGAGACCATCCCTCATTGGAAAGCAAAGTCATGGTGGAGCTGCAGCCACAGGAAGTCATAGACGCCTTCCCAGCATCCCCTCGTGTCCTCAACACGCATGTCCGGTACAACCAACTTCCGTTACAAGCCAGAGAGAAGAAGTGTCGGATGATCTATGTCCTTAGAAATCCTAAGGATGTTGCCGTGTCCTTCTATAACCATCATAAATCTTTCGAGAATCTGTACAAGAATTACAATGGATCGTTAAACGATTATCTCCCTTTCTTTCTGTCTGGGAAAAGTAAGACATTTGTCATTTTTTTCTTTCTTTCTTTCTTTGTTATTTAACGCCGCACTCCAATAATATGCAGCTATGTGAGGACGGGCTGTAAATAATCGAGTTTGGACCAGACAATCCAATGATTGTCATTGTAACCAAGCATCCCACTGTCGCCATCAACCATGTCACCGAGCCTGATCATATCATTCACACTTGATATTGCAATCTCCTTGAAGTCTACATCTACCTATTTCTCTGATAAACCCTCTCTCACGTCAGGTGAACCTAGTGTAGACTGTCACTACCAAATGTAAATAGATTATGAATGGGTTCCCGAGATAATCTTAAGTCAGTTTTCAAAACGAGATTGAACCTATGGATTTGGAAAACTTGGCTTCAACAAATTAACCCCCATAAAATAATCGTTTGCTGTTTAACGACGCTGTCAGCAATATCCCTGTAAGTAATCTGATCTGAACCAAACATCCAGTGAATTACATCATTTGCATATATCCATGCAATAGGTCAGGAAATATGTCACGCAATCGGTAACCTGTGATCAACCCACCGAGTCTGGTGACAAGCATAGGCTGCTAGTGACCTAAACCTCCTGGCAAATAAATTATACAGCAATGTCAGGCAGTGTATAGTATTACCCGGAATAACCTTGGGTGCTGTACAAAAGAAACGTTTTACTCCTAGGGGTTTGTGCCATGGCCATCCGAATTCTTTCCCACTTTTGGTACCGGCAACTGGGAAGCCTTCACGTTGATAGCCTTCACATGACTTGACCTCCTTTCTTGGGGCTTGGCGAATTTGCTATCTTCTAGTGGTTATGACATTTAAAGAATAGACGCTGTTAAGGTCCTACAATTTGCAGAGAGGATATCTATGTTAATCAACAAACTGCCCTTCCGCTACCATGATAAGTGGTGACATATTGTTATCTGAGTTCAGGAATGATCTGCACCTGTCAAGTCCAACGCTCCTGCACAGTTAGTGATGAAGGAAACCAGAAAGGCCTGGGATCATACAAATGAACATGAGGCTTTAAGGACGACGGAACAGAAAGCAAATGTTGGACTAGTTATGAATCAGCAGGTCACCAGTCAACAACCTCTGAAGGGAACTTAGCAACATAGATGTCTGGCGCCAACAACTGAACCCGGCAACACTATTGATCGATCCAATGGTACATCAGTACAGATGGACCCCGCGCTCCAAACAATACATATGTACAGTAATTAAACATCTTATCCTATAGGGAGATAAACTACCCCCGCTGTGATATTGCTGGAATATTGCTAAAAGCGGCGTAAAACCATACTCACTCACTCACTTAAAACTACCTCGTACTGATAGACTATACAAACATTTTGCGATCCAAAGGCATGTGTTTTTGATGACAGAAAAGAGGTCGTGTAAACTAGGAAGGTCGACCAAGAGCAACCTATTCTATCTGCAATCTTCGACATCCAAGTGTGTTCCACGATGACATAGGGTAATGGACAAGCAAGAAAATAGGTTCAACCACTGACACCCACATTGTAAGAGGACAAGGCTCCGTCTCATAACGAAGTTTGATCTTTATCAGCTGTATCACGAGGCTAATGGTTTCGGTGGTCAGGCTTGGTGACTTGGTTGGTTGCAATCTTCGACATCCAACTGTGTTCCACAATGACATAGGGTAAGGGACAAGCAAGAAAATAACCTCAAAAGGTCCAGTTGATGCCTTCAAATATCCCTCAACCTCCATGCATCCACTGCCACCCAGATCTCCGTTCAGTATTTTGATAGGAGGGCATACAAGGATATTTTGCAGTTTTTCAAACCACACTTGACCGGGAAACATCTATCACAGTAGTATGGGCTCTCCGATTCATGGGATCATTTTATAGGTGAGGTGAGGTGAAATTGGGTTTAACGTCGCGTCCAAGATTATTGCACTTATATAGCGACGTGCATGCACGTGTGTGTGTGTGTGTGTGTGTGGCTGCTTGTACTAGTCCGGACTCATGCTAGCCCACTGAGATACCATGCCGCAGTTTAACATGAATACCCCACTCAGACACAGTATACTGACTCCGAGCCGACCAGTCCTTGTTTTAGCCCCATAATGCTGAGCGCCAGACAGGGTTACAACAAGTTCCATCTTTTAACGTCTTTTGGTATGACGCGGCCGGGGATCGAACCCCGGACCTTCCACTCTCCGGGCGGACGCTCTACCACTAGACTACAGAGGCGGTCGGATCATTTTATAAGTTAAGGAGAGCAAGGATGATATAACCGTGGCTAGTCATAAACATTGCTAGACACGGCCTTGCGTCTGCTGACTACTAATCTGGACATCACTGAAATCAACAATCAATGAAACTATTTTTTTGTGAAGCAATGTGACATAAACAATGTATAAATAGATAATTTCATTCCAGACGCGATTGTTTACAGGCTGCTGACAGAAAGGTTGAATATTGCCGAGTGTGGATTCAATGTGAAGCTGGAGAGGTGAAAAGGGGTTTAACGTCGCGACCAAGATAATTGCACATATATAGCGACGTGCATGCATATGTGTGTGTGCGTGTGTGACTGCTTGTACTAGTCCGAACTGATGGCGATTTATAGTGCTAGCTCACTGAGATAACATGCCGTAGGTTAACATTAATATCCCACTCAGACACAGTATACTGACTCCGAGCCGACCAATCCTTGTTTAGCCCCTTTTTGCCGGGCGCCAGACAGGGTAACAACAAGTACCATCTTTTAACGTCTTTTGGTATGACGCGGCCGGGGATCGAACCCCGGACTTTCCGCTCTCCGGGCGGACGCTCTACCACTAGACCACGGAGGCGGTCGTGTGGCACACAGCTTGTTTTGCACTGAGTGCAACAAATTAAAGAAAATTCCCTGGGAGGCCGCCAGCCTTTTGAGTTCAGTTTATACGTTTCAAAATCCTCCAACCTCCATGCATTCACTTTCCACCCACGGTTCCGTCTTGGCTCTGATACCAAACCCATACACACGTTTGTGTTCAGTTTGGTGGTTAGTGTCACAGGAACGCACACTTGGAGATTTTACAGTTTTGAAACCGCGGACAGACATACAGACAGACAGATTTATTCTCTGTGAAGGCCAAATGGCCAAGAGGTACAAATACAATGCTTTTACGTCAGCTTCCGGTCGTGAACAGTAAAAGTAAATGTATGAAGCGTACATAAAATACTTACAAGGGACATAACTCAACACTACAGAAATGACACGTCAAAACATGCTTTAAGTTAATAGCAACAGCCGTGATTTTACTTTGCTGCTCAGACTATAAAATATTTACAAGGTCTTGTTTACAATCTTGGTAAAATACATATTTCGCAAAATTATATATTTTTTACATTACATCCTGAACTGCAGATCCCCTTTGTGGTAGCTTTATTTGTAAATTGTTCAAAGATCTTCTAAACATACAGAATTATTAAAAAAGGGTTTGGGTTGTAAATTGGAATTTACATCATCATAACGACATAGGAATATTGATGGTGTTATTGAATCATGCCAGGGCAATTAGTTTGCTTTAAATGGTACAAAGTTATTTTTTATCTCCAACATTTTGGGAGATCCAAACATAAGCAAAACCAGCAGAAAATCAAAAATGTCGAAGCTCGGATTCCCAACTGTTTTTGCCAGTGTCCTCTAAGCTTTCAAGCATTATATGTCATTGATGTGGATAAAGGTTACAGTCTCCCAACAACTGCCTAATCCAATAGCTTACCAATCTAACGTGGCAGTGAATATGTACACTGTGACGTCTATTATCCCAAAGTGCAGATCCGTTCGTGAGACCTGCATCACTTCAGGCTTTCCTCCCACATTAAGCCGACACGCTGTGATATGACTGGAATACTGATAAAAGCGGCGTTAAACCAAACAGCAACATGAAGTCCCAGATGCAAGTACTTGGTGTGGTGTGTTACAAAAGCGTCTAGGCTCATATTGAATATTAAGCTCCCTATCAATGCTGTGCGCCGATCTGTTTAAACATATTTATATTCCTCAAAGAAAGGTATATTTAACGTCTTAATACATATTAATCTTGTAGTTCGAGTAGTATCATCTTCCAAAGGCAAGTGAGTTAACTGACTATAAAAGTCCAGTTTCCACCCTTGCCGAACTAGGATGGTGTTATGGAGTTACATTTGGGCTGGACTAATGAGTCTACACATAGTGTAATCAAAATCATGCACCGAAATCGAAATCCGGTTCGTAGAGTGTCATGCAGATTTCGGTCGACTGCAGGATTTGCAAAGCTTGTGCACCGCCTACTCGTTGTCAACAGATATTTTCTAAATCTTTTCATGTTTTTAATCAAGGTGCTCACGTGATTTGATGCACTTCGCGATGTAAGACTCGTTTTATAACAATATAGGTATTGATTATCGATCAGATCGTCTTGATTGGGCGCCACCGTTTTGTTTGAAACAAATGCAAGTGATACGAGAGGTTGAATCTGATTGGGCAATAGGAGACGCATAGAAAGGACATAACTCGTAATAGCCACTGGCGGCGTTACGATTGAGCCCAGGAATTCCAGCCCAGTTCGGCAAGGGTGGAAACTGGACTTTAAAGTCAGTTAACTCTCTTGGCTCGCGAAGATGGAGTAGAATAGGCTAGAGTCATCTTCGGATTCCATGGCGCACTGGTATCCGCAACTTCACGTTTTACAAAAAGGGAACATACCGTATTCGACGTAATAAGCGCCCAGGGCGCTCTCAAAATTAGAAATAGGGGGTTCTTATTAGAAAATTATTTTGGTGAAAAAAAAGTTGAAAGATAAATATCGCGGTTTATGCTGACAGCCTGAAATGTTTATGTACGACAGATATATTTTTTCCAGAATTCTATTGCCCCTAAATAAGGGTGCATATAACACACGAATGCGTATTATTCGCGAAAACATAAGTCTTGTGTACATTGATCAATCGGAAGGGGTGCCAATTGGGATTGTTCATTTGCCAATATATTAGCAAATATCGCTGTGGGCGCTTATTACGTCGAATACGGTATTGAAAAATCACTGAATCTGAGCATTTTGAAAGGTGTCGTCAATATTCAAACTTATCTAACTATAAATGAAAAGTCTGGGCCAGTCATTACAGTGACTAAAACATTGGCAACGATCTTCGCCATCAGGGCACAGTGACACATATTCAGGAAAGCTAACCACAAAGTTCTCTTTAGTAGGCTGTCATGGCAAGCAGGTTATGCTTGGGCGTGGTCCTCAACGGAATTGTCATGGTGAGAATATACGCACATGGATTGGGTTCATATTTGATTACAATACATTTGCCGCACCTGTTTTTCTAGCAATTCGCAGATGCACTTGTTCTTGTGTAATGTGGGATGCCTGTTTACAACACTCGTTTCAAATCCGTTATCAAACAGAAGGTCATAATTTCTTCTGATTAAAGAGAGTATGAAGTGTTTTCCAGCTTTTCTTGTTTTATCCTGAAATTAAAAATAAAATTCATGAATAGCGAATAAGAATGGTTTTACGCCGCTATTAGCAATATTCTAGCAATATCACAGCGGGGAACAAGAGAAATGTGCTTCACATATTGTACATATTTTGGGAGTCGATCCCGGGTCTTCGGCGTGAAGAGTGAAAACCTTAACTACTCTGCTACCCCACCGTGCCTGATTATATCATGATGACAAGCAACAGATGCTTAAGTTGCTGCCATGATGATGTACAGAAGAATGAGGACAAGGCGAAGGCAGTATTGGCTTAGACCTTGGACCACAAGAAGGCCACAGTTAGCTCTAGGAGACTATGAGAATCTGATGGCAGAGTTGGAGAGAAATAGTCGCGGTGATTTCGGGGGCTACATCAGAATAGAGCCTGTCAACATCGGACATCTCTGGCTCTGCCACCTCATCAGGTATACGCCTCTTCTTTTGTTGAGATGTTGTTGGGTCTGGCTCAATTGTAGCAGACCTGTGCACCAGTTGCAAACCCAACGGCGATTGATCGACACACGGTCGCCACTAGGTTGCAAAGGGTCAACACCCTTGCGAAGATGAAAAAGATCGCCGCACAGAGGAAACCAATCTGCGATTAAAATAACACCACTTGGGGACCTCAAGGAGACCAATAAATCTCCGAGCGACAAAATCGGTCGCGGATAGTGAGTGAGTTAAAATTTAACGTCACATCGGCAGTATCTCAGCCATATAGTGACTGGTCGCGGACAATCTTTTGTGCATGTTCAGAAGACTGGTTGCGAACGAACGGGTTTTGCGACCGCTCTGAAACCCCCCAAACCTCACTGCGATTCCATACATGACACACTTATTTTAGTTGGCATCACAGCCTCAGCATCGGTAGGGGGCACGGGTGGCCCATTCGTCTAAGGCGCCGTGATTCGCTGTGCAGAGTTGCGTCCCTTGGGCACGCCAGAAGCCTATGATTGTGGGTTCGAATCCCGGTTCGCCCCGATTATGTTTCTAGGTTTGTCAGCACCATACCCATGCTCGTGGGTTTCACCGAAGCGGTAAACGTCTGAGACCTGCATCACTTCGGGCTTTCCTCCCACATTAAGCTGACACGCCGTGATATAACTGGAATACTGTTAAAAGCAGCGTTAAACCCATCTCACTCACTCAGCATCGGTAAGTTACCTTTTACTCTTATATTCCTTTTAGAAACAGTTTCGATTTTCAAGAAACGGGCACCGGTGTATTTTTTTCATTCAAGGCATTTCATACTTAATCTCCCAACATCTGTTCACCTGTTCGACCTAAAACCTATAGGAATTCGTCTATTCGTCTAAGGTATGCATTCGTCTATTTTCCTTGTATATACATGCATTTTCAAAGGGGTGATTAATTTTTTTCAAGATAATCGGTCAGCTGAAGATTTTAATGTAATTATATTTACATCCATCTGCACCGCACCATTTAAATGTTATATGTTATAGGAAAGTTGTATGTGTTTTACAATACATGTATGTATCTTTAACATTTATCATGTTCAAAATTTTGTTTCAATCAATACAATAACATTATAAGGTATCCATTCTTGTTTACGTTTGTAAACAAACTTATGAATCAATTAATCAAAGTAGTATCAGAGTATCAGCCTACTTCCATTCCAAATTTATCAAGGCCTCTGTAAAGCTTTCAAAGGTTTTAGGGGCGGTCGGGTAGCCTAGTGGTTAAAGCGTTCGCTCGTCACGCCGAAGAACCAGGTTCGAATCCCGACATGGGTAAAATGAGTGAAGCCCATTTCTGGTGTCCCTCGCCGTGATATTGCTGGAATATTGCTAAAAGCGGCGTAAAACCATACTCACTCACTCACTCACTTCAAATGGTAGGCATGCGCAGGACAATTCCAAACAAGACGCATCAATGACAAAAATGATGTCCAATGCTATCCATATTTTCTCTTGTACCATTGTGTTTTTTTAGATGAACAATTGCATGTGTTTGTGACGGGAGCAACCGGTGGGACAAGATACGCTCACCTGTTGGGCAGTGATTCATAAACAAAAGCTTATGATTTTGTCGGAATCGTACAATATACAGACTTTTCGTCGCTTCTACTACTATCTTTTTCATGTCACTATTCCTTACCTCTCTGTCTCTGTCTCTCTCCGGGAAAGTTTCACCAGCCTCACGTGCCCCGTAAATGATGTCACATATGTATTTCTGAAGAAAGATAACACGTGGGTTAGCAGTGAAGGATGGACGTGGTACCATGACAACTGTCACACATTACAACTGACGATACACATTACAAACGACAGCACACATTTACCATTGACTGTATACTTTACAGTTGACGTCACAGATTACAAATGTAGTAACATTACAACTGTCGTCACACATGACAACTAACGGCACACGTTACAACTGACATCGTACATGACAACTGACCCTTGGAGATCCGGGTGAGAATAGGTCTTCAGCAGCGCCGTAACAGGCGACTATGCTCGTCGTAAGAGGCGACTAAAGGGTTCGGGTGGTCAAGTTCGCTGACTTTGTTGGTGCATATCGTAGACCGATGCTCATGATGTCAATCACTGGATTGTCTGGTCCAGACTCGAATATTTACAGACCGCCGTCATATAGTTGGAATATTGCTGAGTGTGGCGTTAAATAACAAACAAACAAAACAAAACATGACAACTAATGTCACACATTGCAACTGACGGAATGACGTCACACATTGCAACTGATGTCAGTTTATCCAGCTGGTGTCACACATTGCAACCGACGTAAGACATTCCAGCTGGTGTCACGCACTGCAACTGACGGAATGACGTCACATTGCATCTGACGTAATCATTCCAGCTGATGTCACACGTTGCAACTGACGTAAGACATTCCAGATGGTGTCACACACTGCAACTGACGGAATGACGTCACATTGCAACTGACGTAAGACATTCCAGCTGGTGACACACATTGCAACTGACGGAATGACGTCACGCATTGCAACTGACGTCAGTTTTTCCAGCTGGTGTCACAAAATGCAGCTGACGGAATGACGTCGTACATTGCAACTGACGGAATCACATCACACATTGCAACTGACGGAATCACATCACACATTGCAACTGACGGAATGACGCTACACATTGGAACTGACGTCAGTTTTTCCATCTCGTGTCCCAAAATGCAGCTGACGGAATGACGTCACTCATTGCAACTGACGGAATGACGTCACTCATTGCAACTGACGTCAGTTTTTCCAGCTCGTGTCACAACATACAGCTGACGGAATGACGTAACACACTGCAACTGACGTCACACATTTCAGCTAGTGTCACATATTACAACGGGTCTTACACATTGCAAATTCTACTGAATGGGTTCTATACACATTCCATATGCATCACCAATCTATCATACACTTCGTTTTTCTTGTTTAACGCCGCACTCAGCAATATTCCAGCTATAATCTGAAATAATCGAATCTGGACCAGACAATCGAGTGATTGATATCATGACCATCAATCTACGCAATTGGGATACGATGACAAGCATCAACCAAGATCAGACCGCCCGATCCCATCAGTCGCCTCTTACGATAAGTAAAGTCGCCTTTTATGGCAAGCATGGGTTGCTGAAGACCTATTCTATCCCGGGTCTTCACGGGTTCTATCATACTCACCATACATGGTTTTAAGTCATAATACATGACCTTCAACTGACGAGAATGTTAAGGAAGCCATAATCAACCAAATGAAGCTGACTTGAGAGTGGACTGTATCATTTAGTGTATATAATTTTCTATATTTTGAGCTCATACAATTAACATATCACACAAGTAGCTGCCAAAACATGACAAGCACAATTTTCGACAAGACATTAAGCATGATTTAAAATAACCTTTATCGGATTCTGGGACTTTTTGTTTCCGAACATGAATGGGAAATACACTGAACAAGAAAAGTTCCTGTGACATTGAATAAGATTTAATGCAAAGTTATGCTTTTTACCAAATCTGAAACAATTTCGGTTTGCAACAGATAAAAAAAGACTCATGTAAGTGTTCAAATGGTTTAATTTGTCATTGAAAACATGAACATGCCAAAATGTCAGTTTACAAATCAAAAGCTGTAAAATGGAACAGTTATCAATAGCAACCTCTGGTTGCGATGCAAGCAACACATCTTCGTCTCGTGGAAAGGGCCAGGCGTCGCACAAAGTCCTGTGGGATATCTGTCCATATCTGCTGGAGCATGTTTCGAAGTTCCTGGAGTGTCTGTGGAACACGTGGTTGACGTCGAAGGCGCGTATCCATCTCATCCCACATGTGCTCGATTGGTGAGAGATCAGGGGAGCGAGCCGGCCAGGGGATGACATTCACGTTGTTATGTTGAAGAGAATCCTGAACAAGTCGGGCAATATGAGGCCGAGCGTTGTCATATTGAAAGGTCATGCCTTGGCCACAATATTGAAAACCAAACTTTACTTGTTTGAAAAATACACTAAAATATTGGTGTCACAGGAACTTCTGTTGTTGAGTATATAATCTGATAACTAAACTGACTCATGACAGTTAATATTTTAACATGCCCACTTCTTATTACTGTATGGGACAGACCATCTGGTATTCTGGGGGAGGGGGTGGGGTTGGTACATTTCTAAGTATGTGACGACTCTTCTGCACATCAGAACACTTCAGCCTTCTGCATTACCCAGAGTGTCTGCTGTGTTCCTAGCGGCAAACCCGGGTACGCTCCCAAAGTCGGTCAACAGATTGGGAGGTACCAAACCTAGGGCACCGAGAACAATGGTGAGTCGGGCAACTTGGTACTTGGGGTGCAAGCGTGACATTACGTAAGCGAGGTCCGCATATTTGCCATGTGTTCTGAATCGTGTTCTGAAATTATCCATAACGCGTGGCATAACATAAATATGTAAATCAAAGTGTGAGTGCGGTCATTCACATTGAACTTATAATTATCACAATCCTGAGACAAGAATCCGCAACCATCAGAAAACATATTTTTCTCTAAAGGATACAGTTGGTGGTCCACATAGCCGACAGAATCCATAGTTGACAAGGATATTTGTTTTCAAAACATGTCCTAGAGTATATGCTTGCAGGCGAGCTTTCAATCTTTTTAACATCTGAAAAATAACCAAGCAAACATGCTCATGTGACAGCACGTCATGTGACATGACATTCCTTCAGAGCGGCGAAAGTAATCTCAATAACACACACCACACACTCATGAACGATTGCGGACGTGTGACAATAAAGGCGTGCGTCAACTCTGTCGGCAGCAATGCCGTACATTGTACATATACGGGGAGAGCAGTCGACTCAGATATTTGTTTGTTTGTTTTTTAATGCCGAGTTCAGAATATTCCAGCTATATGACGCTGGTCTGTAAATAATCGAGTATGGACAAGACAATCCAGTGATTGACATCATAGGCATCGATCCACGCAATTGGGATATGATGACATGCATCAAACCAAGTCAGTGAGCCTGACCACCCGACCCCGTTAATCGCCTTATACGACAAGCATGGTTGCTGAAGACCTATTCTACCTCGGATCTTCACGGGTCCGACTCAGATGTCTAAGATATAGAGGTTGTGTTCGTCGGACATGCTGGTCAACTGTATCAGCATCATCTGCGTGTTTGTGGATTTCTCCAAAGTTGCAAACGTCTCTAGCCGCGATATAAATATTCTATTGTTCAAATCTTAACTCACTTACTAATTTTTGTTGTAATAATGTATCGAAGTATCAGCGATGGACAAGGGGAAACAAAGTAAGATATGGACATATTAGTAATAAATTTGTTCTGAGGTGAGGTGAAATGGGGTTTAACGTCGCGTCCAAGATTATTGCACTTATATAGCGAAGTGCATGCACGTGTATGTGTGTTAGTGTGTGTGGCTGCTTGTACTAGTCCGGACTGATGCCGATTTATAGTGCTAGCCCACTGAGATACCATGCCGAAGTTTAACATGAATACCCCACTCAGACACAGTTCTGAAAGATGTGGTGGATTTGTGTGTATATCTAACGCTTGAGTCTGCAATATTCCAGCTAGGTGACGGTGGCCTGTATGTAATCGCGTCTGAACTGAGCAAACCAGTGATTCATATTACAAGGAGCGTTCCATGCCGTCAAGGTGTGATGACAAGCACCGAACCAACCTTACCACCCGATCAATTTAGACGCCTTTTACGACAATCGGTGGGCTGCTTGTGACCTACACTAACATTGAATCCTAATGTCTCAAGCATGGTCGGTGGTTCGATCACCAGGATACCAGAAGACATTACAAATAGGTACTGGCTCAAAGTCAGTATACTGTCAGAGAGGGGTATCCGTGTTTAACTGCTGCATAGTATCTCAATCGGCTTGCATTAGTACGGCATAATCCCGGACGAGTACAAGCAGCACAATTGCGTGGATCGATGTCCACTATGCCAATCACTGGATTGTCTTGCCCATTTTCGATTATTTACAGGCCGTCATACAGCGGGAAAGCAAACGAGATTAATATTCCAGAGGTTCCTAGAACATTGTCAAGTAATAGTTTTTTAAAAAGTGACAGGCACTTACCTGCACATGTACACCGCAGACCAAACCTACACTGACGACAGGCATTGCAGGAACCATGCCAATTAAAATGTTATAGTTAAACATTCTCTATCTGTGACAAACTGCGACATTATATCTCAGTGGGCCAGCATTATAAAACCGACAGAACCCCATTTAACCATAGTATAAAAAAGTGATACGCACTTACCTGCACATGTGCAACATAGACCAAACCTGCTCCGAGGAAAGGTATGAGTAGAACAACGGCTAGAAGAAAGTTACCATTCACAATTTTCCTATCTGATACTTCCACTATGAAGTATATTAGCAGTATCAGCAACATGCAGAATGTTGTGCCGCAACAGCAAATGCCGCAACAGTGACGAAAGGAGTGGATGGTGGAATAGTACTTCATGTAGGCAGAGGTGTTGGCAATATCCTTTGCTTCATAATATACTCGCTCAACGAACTGAAACAAACGCAAACGTGTTTTGATATCGGACGAGCTTAAAACGGGCAGGATACATAAACGTGATATGAATTGGGAACGAGTTTTTTATGTTGTTTGTTTTTTAGCGCCGCAATATTTCAGCTATATTAAGGCGGCCTGTTAATAGTCGAATCTGGACCAGACAAGATTAAAATCATGAACATAAATAAACATAATTGGATATGATGACACGCATGAACAGCAAGCCAGACCACCCGTTGGTGTCCTCTTGCAAGTTGAGGTCGCTGAAGACCCAGATCCTCCCGGGGTATTACCGATTAGGAGCAGCCACTCTTGACATTTCATTTTGAAACAATTATCTCTTATCCCCTTGTTTTGTCTTTTTACCTTTGCGAAACTAACTGCCAAAGTTGGTTGTTTTCACAAATTATTCTCATTCCACATCAATATAAATATCTAACGAGAAAATCTTTATATGATTACGAGCACATAAAAGCACATTCCTATCTTTTGAGCCAGACGATATCCATTATGAGTCCAGATTTTGGTTCATTGGTTTACGCTGAAGTCATCGATATTCTGGCTGTCATCGATATTCCAGCTGACATCGATATTGCAGCTGTCATCGATATTCGAGCTGACATCGATATTCCGGCTGACACCGATATTGCAGCTGTCATCGATATTCGAGCTGACATCGATATTCCAGCTGACATCGATATTCCGGCTGTCATCGATATTGCAGCTGTCATCGATATTCGAGCTGACATCGATATTGCAGCTGTCATCGATATTCGAGCTGACATCGATATTCGAGCTGACATCGATATTCCGGCCGTCATCGTAATTCCAGCTGACATCGATATTCCAGCTGACATCGATATTCCGGCTGTCATCGATATTGCAGCTGAAATCGATATTCCGGCGGGTTGTACATATTCGAGTCTGGACCAGACTAATCAGTAGTAAACGAAGCAATATAAACCAAATCACCAAAGAACCAAAAGATAAGCCGACACGTGAAGAATAAATTCGGAAAGATTTCTACCCGTGGGGGATTCTGGGTTAGTATAGGCACCAAGGTTCCTATTGTTTGTTGTATGAGGCGTTGTATGAGGCGTTTGTTGTATATATGCCTCTATATATATATGCCTCTAGAATATGTATTCCAGGGGGGCTCAAGTCATACACGTTATGTTCTGTCATGTATTTCATTCAATCAGCGGTATCAAATCGCTAGCTAATATGAAGCTAATATTTTTGGAACAGTACTTCTTTTACAGCCACTGTCAGTAGGAATACGTGTACAAAACTAACTATATGTACAATTATAGGCTACAACATGCAAACTTGCGGTTACTACAGTATTCAAGGGATGTGATGCAATAAGTTCGTGTTAAGTATTACGGTGTAAACAAACTGCTTGTTTAAAGGTTGTTGTCGGTGATTCCGCAAATTCTGATCGCCGATCCACTCAAAACCAAACAATGACGCTTCGATCAACATATTTGCTAACATCAAACAGTTAGCGTCCAGTTCCAAATTCAATTTAGCGAGGTTTAATCTACGCGTGGGGAACCTTGCTCTACATTGAAAACACAACGTGTTTATCTCCTACTTACCTTGCTTCCAAGTTGGCGAAGCTCGTACCGTTGGTGTTGGTCGAGATCCCGAAAAGACCAAGCAGATCCTCTGCAAGTGTATTTCAAATTTTTCTCTCCAAGTATTCTAGCAACAGTTCCATTAGTTGGTCCTTGAAAATTAACAAACGATGTCATGGATATTACATTTTATTATAGCTAAAATGGATAGAATTATCATTAAACCGCCCGCACGTTATCAGAAATGAGCGGGCCACTGTAACTTGATAATGCCCTCATATTGCTTGACGACGGGCCATTATCAAGCCCGTTGTTAGATGACGTCATAGGGTAGAGAAAATGACGTCACGTATTATAGTGACGTCATCTGGTTTGTTCTATGACGTTTCCATATTTGTAAAATGTGGTCAGTGACATTCGCGTTGATTGCAGTAAATGTTTCAAAACCGATGTTGTTGTTTCTTTATATTTGATAAAATATTCCATCCATTTTAGCTATAATAACGGTAACGCTATTTTTCAGGTCATTTTCATTTGCAGAAGCCCTCGGTCTTTTTAACAGTTAATGGAAGACCTCGGGCTTCTGCAAATGATAATGCCCTGAAAAATAGCATTACATTTTAATATTGCCGGTGCGAACCTTTTTATTCTAACTCTTATTTCGATCAAATCAAGATTTCGTTTGAAAACTTACAAAATACTCAACATATACTGCCCAGTCCACACTCTCACCTTTTTCGTTTTTACAGTATTTCATCAATTCCGGAACAAGATGATCAAAATCGCCTGGAAAAAAAGAGATTTAATGTACAAGAGACAAACGGTGACTGGTTAAACATACATTGTCAAATGGAATCGAAGCCTGGCTGGTTGGTTTGTCTGTTGTTTAACCCTCTGGATGCCATTTGGACATATATGTCCCTACACAAAACGCAGTTGCTGTGCCAGAGGGACATATATGTCCTTCTGAAACATCATGTTAAAAGAATTGAAATAAAATATTTTTGGATTATCCCAAGCCCATAGCAATTGCATCATCGCAAAAAGGAGTAAATTTCCAACACATCTGTGTCATTTTCACAACTCTACTGTCAATAAATAACGCATATGGAGTTAGTCAAATTCCCCTTGTTTACACTTTCGTTCAAATGTGCCGCCATTGAAATATTTTTTCATTTCGAACAAATTGCACCGAATGATTGAAAATCCACATGCGAAGGAATGTTTGAAACCTTCATAAATATTTTGGTTAAAAGATTGAAAATGGTCAAATATCTACGCATCTATGTATTAATTAGCTAATGAAACCAACTAAATGCCCAGTTTATCGATGGTGAATGGAGTGGGGTTTTTTTTTTCACAGTATTTGTTCAAGGCCTCGTTCATCACATTCATATCAAAGCGTATTCAAAAACATTCATACAGTTATACATACCTACTGACATCTGTTAAAAACAGTCTGTGTGAAAATGTGCCACTTCTCATATTCATACGTATACTTAGAAATTCCATTCATGCTTCCTAAACCTCAAATTCTGCAAAAACACAGAAAAGGTACCGCAACTTTTTAGTCGAAACTTAAAACAAAATGGCGACCGAAGTTGAAGGTCACTTAGCGGTACTTTTCATGAGAGAAAAAAAGTCGAAAGCATGTCTCCCAGAAGAAACGAAAACGCACATGGTAAACTTTGACACACCCTCTTGGGTCTGTGTTGTTCATGTTTTGTGACTGATCATATGTAAGTCACGTTTTCGTATGTTTAATGAGGCGAGCCAATTTATTACAAGACGTTGAAAAGTAGGTTGGTAGCAACGGCATATAGGATCTTATGCAGTGTCGAATATATTTATAATTTATTGGTTATATAAGTATATAAATAAGAACTATATGATGTTGAAATATGAACGTGTAAATGTCAGTTAAAATTACTTGAATACCGGTCCCCGATGAATCTATATATTTATTTTTAGTTCGTATGTCTAAATACAAATAGCTAGCTCTTTGACAGTAGAATTCATTACTAAATTATGAATAATCTTTCGTTTAATTTCAGTATGTAAATTTTGTATTCATGCGGTTTGTTATTGTTAAATACCTTATTATTATTGCAAGACTAATTTTTTTTATTTCACGAATACAAATGAAGCTGTCATCGACAGTTGGTTTCAATCATCCACCATAACGGGGTTGGGAAGAGCGGCAAATTTCAGATTGTTCGTCTGGAACGAAATACCGTGACCCGCGACCTTTGACATGCCACGTCACAGAGGTTACAGGTGCCCGAGTAAAACAAAATAAAGTTCGATGTTGAAATCACCAACAGTGTTAAATATGACATCCAATGTTAATATTTATACATTATATGCTTTAATCTTTATCTTCGTGCTTTGTTTATCGAATCAGCGCGATGTACACAAATCAAATATAAAAAAACGTTCGCCTCCCGCCGAGAGCATGAATATTCATAGGGATAAAAATAGCCCCATGTGACAGACGACAACATTGCGATCGAAGCTGTCAACCAAGAAGGAATGTCTGCGGTGGGAATTGGCGACGACGATGATTTGGGGGAGTCGGACTTCGAGTCGGACATATCCGTCGATTCTCTCGATTCCGACTCCGAGTCCGACTCCCAGGAAGAGATAAGCGGTAAGTAACATTAATTCATTTTCAGTAAATTGAGTAGGTGTACTGTCAGTGTCAAAGCAATGGCGGGAATAAGAATTTGTTATTTTTTTAGCAATTTTCAAAATTGTAGGCTAGATCTACTTGTGATAGTTGTGATGTTTAAAATGTTAAAAATATCTACCATACCATGATAGTCATAGTAGAAACAGCAAACTACCTTGTTTAGTATTTCATGAAATTGATTTGAAAGAAAGTCTCTCATGGTAGTGAAGTTTTAACGTCTACATGTGGCCTACACATGCTTTTGGTAAAGCTCAGTAATATTAATGGAAAAATGTCTTTGTTAAAAATTAAATTTATCTTGAAGGACACACTAGTTCACACTTTGGACATGAAGCCATATTTTTAAATGAGTATAGTGAGTCATTCCTAAAAAATCTAAAATGTCTAGGCCTAACTTATTTTGAAATTTTAAAAATAAATGAATATGTTTCATAATTTTAAATGTTAAATGTTATAAATATATCTAAATGATGTAGATTAACATTTACTATAACTTACTAAGGGGAAAGGGGAGTGGCATTGCACCAAGTGACTGTTGTCCTTGCGCCAATGGGTTGGGGGGTCAGCGCACTGAACAAATGTTCCCTCACCGGGCAGGTAGCCCGGAGACGCGGAAGCTATGGCCAATTTTTTTTTTAAATTTAGCATCATTGTAAAGCTTTTGATTTTAGTTCTCACCATGGAAATGTTTGCATCATGATTACACAATTGTTTCCCTGTGACTACTCAAGGAAGCCCTTCAGTTTTCATTGATACATTCATGTGGAGCACATGTATCCTAATCTTATCTTTATGTTGTAGTAATGAAAAATAAGTCTTTCAACATGTTTAATCTGTACCCAACTAAAAAGGTCACAGGTTATACATATTAATTACAAGCAAAATATAAGCCTTGACGGAAATAAAGTTGCCACATGAATATTGATACTGTGTTGTAAAATATTCACTAGATCTACAGGGTCTGAAACATTTCCTTCAATAAACTAAATATATGTCTATAGGTATATATATATATATATATATATATATATATATATATATATATATATATATATATGTGATATATTTATATCTTTATTTAAATTTAAGATTGATAACAAACATAAAATACATTGGAGAAATGACAAACTTCCATGAAGCAATTTGCAAAAAGTATGTATCCAAGGGAGATATTATAGGACATAAACAAATCACATTATCTCCCCTTGATCACCAAGAAAACATGAGTCAGCAGTTGCTTAGTTCCAATTATGATAAGAATCATCCATGAAAATTTGCAAATTCAGCGATAGAAACTAACATTTTAGTCCACTAGTCCATATATTATAATGATGAGTATAACAAAACCCTATAAAATTGGCAAATGTCTACTAGTCCTTATGATACCTTAACTATTAGACTGTTTTGCAAATATATAATCAGGACAATGACATGGAAATTAATACCAGCTCACTTATCTGTAGACAAATTTCCAAATCTTCCCATTGTTTTAACAGTACAATGGAATTTTACCCTGTCTTGTAAAGTATTTTAGTTCCAACCCTTCATTTTTCGGTGTTAAGCATCACATAAAAAAATACTAAAGAGGCAAACAAATAAACAAAGCTAACCATGTCCTCACTATAGTGATTGGATTAATTTATCTGCAACCTCTTAATTCTTATGCTTTAATTTTCAACCATGTCATTCTTCAAAATTATTTGAAAAGCTTTTAAATTTCATGATATTTGAATTTTGATAATACAGTTTTACTCTGTCCAGGATATGGTCTGTGAAGTGGAATGATTCATACATGCTTTTTCCATGCTCCTATGTTATTTGAATGCATGGACACACTATACATATCTATCTTTTAACAAGGAATCCTTTCCCTTAGCACTTTTATATGTGATTGAAAAGGACATTATTAATAAGAAGCATTATTTCAAATTTCAGATCACGAGGAAAATAACCAAGAAGAGGCAGGGGCCATACCAATGGTCCGTGGCCCCCGGCTGCCCGTGCTGGACACGGACAGCTTTGACCTCGGCAACAGCATTGACTTTGCCGAGGAGTGCGGCCCTGTCAACCAAGGCCGGTTCTTGATCTTGTGAATGGATCATTCGCAAACTCTCATGGGTATGTTAGCTTTTTACTTTCTCCATTCTGATATATCATATGAAAAGTATTTGAACACCATTCATTATGGCACTTATTTCATGTTGCACTGATGTGAGGTTCTAATGAATTAATCACGGTAAATGACAATATGAAAATTACATATACCAAAAATTATTATCCCTCTGGATGCCGAGTTTTTTTTCTGACGCACATTTTCCAAAGATCGGAAAAGTGAAGGTTGTGCGAGAATTGCGCTCACGCGGCACTGGATCTACCTCTGGCTATAAAATTACGCAGAGGTGGAGAATATTAAATTTCCTATTTGATGGTGTAAAGTTAACTGCAAATAATGAACCGGTTTTAAAAAAATACACTTCTAAGTGTTGCCCGAGATTTTTTTCTGCCTTGAAAAACAGTAAATTTCTCCGCTTTTTATCGTACACCGATAAAAGTACTGTGCGACGATTTTTTTTATTTACATGCTTTACGGAATCTGTGAGCGAACAAAATACTGCTTGATATCTGAACGACATAACTATATACCAAATGGAGTTATATGCGTATGTATAACGACAAACATGAAATGCCAAAAATAGCTTCCCGTAAATGACAAAAACTGATTTTTCTCTATGACGTCCAAAGGCGACAGAGAGGTTACACACGTACAAAGAAAAAGGGGCATAACTCCGCTATGTTCAGCACTAATTTTATTGTAACTCAGGTCAATTGGTGAGAATTAGCTGTGGGTAAGGACAATATATTTTCGTGGTGTTTTGTTCACGAGGAACCAAACTATTCCAACACAAATATCGATAAAGAAACTGTATACGTTTAGTTGTAAAAAAAAACCCATAAGAAATGATGAAATCGTGCTTCATAAAAAAGAGGTAATAGAGAAATGGAGGGCCCTATCTAACCTATAACTTAGTCCTTAGATTCAAACATTCTCTTGGATGTGTAAGTGTAATTTGACTAATGTTGCACCATTATTAAT